TATTTGCAACAATTTTAATTAAAAATTTTTATAATAAATTGAGAAAGTTTATCCTCATTTATTATTATATTTTTTGAATCTAATTAAATACATTTTGCTGTAAAGTGTTTGCATGGTACTATATCCTAAAGCAGAGCTAATTTGTTTAAGTTTATCAATCAAAGAAGAAAACATATGTTTATCCTGCACTTATGCATATTGATAAGTAATAAGCTTTATAAACAGCTTTATATATGTGTTCTAATACCATTGCAATCTATTTATCACAGAACTTGGAAAGGAACATTTAGAACAGTTTATTTATAACAAAGTACCCTGTATACTAATTATTAATGTCATTAAATTATAATCCTTGTGTATGTGCACATATTTTTGTATATGGCTATAATTCTGCTCCAAATATTTTATTTCCTGCTCCGCTTTTTTATTAAGAGACATTTTGAATATAAGTCAAATAATAAAGCTCGCGTAAGTTCCTACGAATGACCCTTATCGCCCGTTCATTCATAAATTTGCAATCGTTGATGGTAATAGCACAGTCAATTCTCTAACCGTACTGCACTTAATAATCACAGAGCTGAAGTCGCTGGTGGTAGTAGTAGTGGCAGTGGTTGGCGGTAGCTATAGTTCTGATGTTTATGACTTACTGTTAATTGTATTATTGTCAATGAGTGAAATTCTTTGTTCGTTAAATCACATATCGCTAAGCAACAGCAACATCGATAAGTTTGTTGATCGATTTTACAGCCAGTGTTGTCTGCTGTGCAGCATTCACTAACGCGAAACTCACTCCTTCCTTTGCATTATAGTATGCGCTTGTTCATTACTTATTTCTTTGTTTGTTTGGTTATGTTGCTTTTTGTGTTAATCAAGCAATAATTTCTATAAATAATTTTGCATACGATGAACTTTGCCAAACAACAGTTGCAAATATGCGATAAACTTTGCCTTAAAAACGCAAGCAGAGCTAGCTACGTGAATTACGTTCAATTTAAGATTTTGCTAAAATTCATTTTCATCTTTCAGATACTTTAGTCTCTATTTGGCACTATGCTTTACTTGAATCTCTGTCACTGCTTCTCTCAGTCACATACTGCATGCAACAATTCGCATTCGAATTCCTTCAATTAATGAAACGCGAATTATGGCATTTTAAAAAAAAGTTGTACTTAACCATAAAGGAAGTACGAAAAAGAAAACACAAAAAAAAAATAAACAATAAAATATAAGTCCAAAATTATTTTTTAGTGTACAAAAAAGAATAAAAATTAAAAAAAAAATAACTCAGATCGTCGACCGGAAGTTTGCCGCGTTCTGTTCATCTTAAATTAACCATTTTCTGCAGACCTATTTTGTTTATATTTATACGAACTTTTAATTACATTTAGAATGTTATGAAAGAATCTAAGCACGAATAAGGTAAAAGGTTTCCGTTTAGAAATAGATATATTTCGCACTTACCTCATTATGGCTGATTGTTGCATGTTTTCCTTTTTAAGATTGAAACAATATAATATAATCATTGAAATTATTTTACGTTTCTATATATAAAACTGCCTTATTCACTTTTTATCTACTGTATATCGCGGGCTGGTCATAATAGATATTCGCATAAATATGAGCAAGCGAAGTAATTGTCAAATATCATGCAATAACATTTTCCGTAAACAATCTTGTGTATGTACACTTCTTAAGCTAGAGTCCACTATTATTCATTGGTCTCGTTCTCCTTCTCTGATTCAACCCCAACTACAAGTTTTCTAAGTTATCCGACTCATTCAATTTATTAATTATGCTAGGAGTTCTAGTTACATTCTGGCATATATCACGGACTATAGCTCATCGTGCTGTGACGTGCTTTTTTTTTTTGTTATTATTGCTATTTGTTTATATTCTATATGTGCAAATATATTAACGTATTCCCCTCATTTGCACTGAAAATGCACTTAATTAGTGTTTCTGTTACTTTTCCAGTGCGCGTTTGTTCTTTATTCTGACACTTCTTCGTTACAAGACTTCAACCAAATGAGACTAAAAGTTAATCATTTGCAACACAATAGAGAATTAAAGTAATTAAACTCGTGATTTTCATGTAAGTAATTTAAAATAGTTAGGGCACTGAGACTCATGAAGAGTCAATGACACAAAGAAAATATAAATACACGAGGTCAGGTAGGCCGAACAATAACTCCTTTTGGAGTTTCAATTGGCTCTCTGTTGTGAGCACTACATACATATACGTACGTACATATAATCGATTGACTGCGTTTCTGCTAAAATACCGCAAAATGAGTTTTGTTTCCATAAACCACAATTTTCTAATCACTAAAAGTTCTTTATTCATATTGGTAAAACAATATCCGGTTCTAAGTAAAATGTCCAAGAATTTAAAGTTGGACGTAAACGTAAAGTTCAATATTTTATTTCCGAATTCCATAAGTTATCTTTCACGTTATTTGCTTTGTTTTAAAGCAAAAAATCAGACAAGAAGTAGAAGAAGCACTGCTAGCGAAGCTTAACAATTAGTAACTTATAAGTCACAATCACATTTGAAGAGAACAAAACGATATTCCACTACAGTTCTTTCACTAGACGAATGTTATTCTCTTATTTTCTTTTTGATTATATTTAATTTGATTTCATTGGTTGTAATATTTGCTGTAAACGCGACTGCAAGTGAATTTTAATAAATATTAATTCCAATATTTCATATTTATCAGTTGAAAATTATTCAAATCAAAATCGTTAATGCAACATTCGAATAGTGTAATGGTGGGCTTACCTTTATATCATTGATTGTAATTGCTGGCTTGTAATACTTTCTATAATTTAAATGTGATAAATATCAAATAAATATCACAACGATAGAATATTTCGGAAGTAGAAATGATTTTAAATCGAGTTAAATTAAATGTAAAATTTAACACTATAAATGCATTTACTTACAAAGAATTTAAATATTGCAATATTAAAAAGAGTAAACAGCAACAGTTCTGATATGCTGTTTACTTCGTACTAAAACATATACAGAGATGTGTATACATACAAATATCCATTTTATAATTAGAAATTAACAATATACCAATTGACCCATTCGAAAAATGCGGAGTATACAAAATAGAGTGTGGCTCCTGCAACAAAATATACATCGGACAAACCAAAAGACCCTTATCAGTAAGACTTGAAGAACACCTGAAGGAAGCAAGAGAAGCACCGAAGAAAATAAACCCCCACATAAAATCAAATGTCGCCAGACATATAGTAAAGGAAAATCACCACATCAACAGGGATAACGCCCAAATAATCAAAAATGTAAAGGATAGCTGGAAATTAGAAACGGCAGAAAGCGTCGAAATACACAAACATCATACTACAACTTTACTCAACGGCGACAAAGGCAACGTGTCATCGTGCCTTTTTAGATACATCCCAAAAAACCGACAACCAGTTGACCTAACTACCTGTATGTAAAATAAAAACAACACCAGACCAACCCCCGCCACCATTTCTTACCTGTCACCCCCAAGGACAATAACCTTAAGATTTATTAAAATTAAGATTAATATTAAGTTTAGTATTAAAAAATAACATGTTTATGGTATAAATAGTTTGTAAGATTGCTAGATGTTTTAATATTAGGAATTCTCCTGATGAAGGCAAAAGCGAATTTGCCGAAACACGTGTAGAGATACACAAAAAAACTTTCGAAATAAAAGTTAGTATATTTTTTTAAAACAAAAAATAACCGCATTTAATATACTGGACTCTAAATAGAGCAGTGCACTGCGACCAAAGTAAATCTTCTCTGTTAACTACAGACCCTAACCAAACAAAGCACTCTCAACCTTTTGAATATAGGCCAAATTGTCTTTTGTTGAAAGTTTCCTAATATCAGAATAAGACTTGAATTGTCAGTTCAACATTCTTTTGTTGGCTCTATATCAAAGACGGGCAGCCATGAGTAATGTAGCATGTGTTCTCATCCGTAACATTTTGTCTGTTCAAACAGCCATCTTTCGGCTACAGTTTCCACAGTTTCCGGTCTAAAGAACTGATACCTGGTTTTTGGTTATAAGTTCTTGCAACATATTATAGCAGTATGCTATAATTATAGCTGCTTTTCAACCTTCGATATGCCTGTCCACAAAAATTCCATGTCTACGCCAAGAATCAATCTACAGATGGGATTTGAATGTTAAGATTTTCGTCATCTATTACAATTAAGACAACAGATGTAGAAACAGTGAGAAGTTCGAAACAGCAATTATAGAAAAAATTAAGAAAAATATTAAAATTGTGGCAAAGAGCAAATATTTTCTGTAGAAAGAAAGAAAAGAAAATAAAAGAGTTTATCAGAAAAGATGCGATATTAACCTCCGCAAAGAATTTATGTATAATTACATAGATTTACTTATTTATGTTATCATATAACAATAAGTGTCTTTGTCTGATCCTATTAATTATTTTGATTTGAACTAATATTTAGTGCAAAGCTAAGATGCTTTAGAACAAAATCTGAAAAGTAGTGGTTGGGTGTTCATGCAATGGTAAACAACTATAACTTATAATACTTGTTTAATTGTCTATATACATATGTTTCCCTAATGCAACAAAAACTTTTGCCAAATAATAAAATAAAAAATGTGTTCCCACTAAATTAAATTAGTTTTAGTAAGATATTTCGTAAATCCATCGTAATATACAAAAATTGGTTTTGTTGAAAGTGCGAAAACTCACACACTCCCATCTTTAATGCGAAAATGATGCTGTAAAAGTAAATATTTTATCTCCTATATTTGTCGGCAAAATTTTATGTAAAATACATATTTGCTGACTCTTCATAATGCTAATATGAGTACAAAGTCATTTGCGTTTCTGAAGATTGCTGAAGATTGCTGAAGAAGTGCTAATGTTGCTAAATTTTTGTTTTTTTTGATTTTGATTTATTTATAATTTTCTATTATTTTATCTAATATATAAAATAATTTTAATGCTTTTAGGTCTGTGCTGAAGAAAAATGTCAAGAGGAGGTGGTACTACTAGCTCTTAATTATATGGATCGTTTTTTATCAACGAAGTCAGTACGTAAAACACATTTACAAATTTTGGCTGCAGCGTGTCTTCTGCTGGCCTCAAAATTACGAGAACCCAGCTGCAGAGCGCTCTCGGCCGATCTTTTGGTTTTTTACACAGATAATAGCATTTACAAGGGGGACTTAATTGTAAGTACATTTCTTATATTAAATTATAAAGTCAAAATTATTTCTCTTTATTATTAAGTTATTGTGCTTAAAATAATAATTATATCCCGCATTTTCTTCGAGTGCGTGATATTATTAGAATCCTTTTTTTATAACATAAAAAATATATTGCAGAACAACTTTTGAAATTGATATGGTTAAACAGTTATTAATTATAATTACAAGTTTATTATTATTTATAATTAACAGTAAAAATAAATTATTGTAAGTTTTATTGAATATATCTTAATGCAGATCTAAAAAAAAAACTATAATTTTTAAATTAACTCTAGAAAGGAGTGGTGTAAAAATTACTTTTATACTAAAATAAAATACAATGAAATAACTTTTATAGTAGTTTCTAAAGTCACCCTGTATTTTTGACTTTCATACGTTCGCATGAATGTGAATGTAGTAGTTGTTATTTTATATTAAACGCAGCGATTCCAAGTATTTTACCAATGGGCTTAGTCTGGTTCTTTAAGACTTGTTCTGTTCAGACATAGTGGTTTTCGGTGTCTTTAATGTGGCATCCTTACATCCGATGTCGTCGCAACCTACGTAGTTATTTGGTTTCACAGATAAAATGGGTTCGTGCCTAAATATTACCTCGCTTCATCGCTTACCTACTTTAAAGTTTTTACTTCCACTTTTATTTGTTTCTTTAAAACAAACCGACTTTAAAACTAAGATTTTACTTTATTTTTACCTTCAATTTGTTTTTCGTTTTGCAACTCGTGAAGAATGTAGTGTAGTAAGACATACAAGAGGTTGTATCGGCGAATGGAATTTCTCATTGTATGCTCTAGTATTCACGGTAAAAGCTACGAGAGCTAAAGTTGAACGTAAATTGCATAAGTGTTTTGTATTTTTTAAGTTGCACTGGCGGATTCTTGCAAGGAAATGCAGCCAGCAGAGCATCAGCGGGAAGCAATTCCTGGAGTTTTGCACAAAACGTAAATTTGTGCCGATATTGCTTTGGTGGTCGCAATATTTAATCTTAGGTAGTATACACGTATTTATGTATGCATTTTGCTTCTGCGGCATACTGACTTGCATTGATCAACTTAACTTCCATATGCTTGTGCTGTTTAACACGTTAGTTATGTGGCTCTGAAGTAAACACCTTTGCAGACAAGGACTTGCATTTTAATACTTGTTTGCTTTCGCTATGGTTTTAACAATTATCCATTTTGATTTTAACTACTTTAAAGAAAACGAAGAAATAGGAATGCCTTTCATCCAATTTAGTTCAAGATACGTACCAACACAGTCGAAGAAATTATTTTCATATAGAATCATATAATTTTTAAAAATCTTGTTATATACATGGCTTATCCTTACAGGAGTTTATGGAAGTGACTAATCTAAAAATTTATTAGTATTTTTATAAATTAATTGCATTATAATGAGACAAAAACGGCTTAATTTGCAAAAGGACACTAAAACAGCACTGCATGAGAGCCAAGCTTTTCATGTATATTTTGCAAGGTCGTTTGGACGGCTATTTAATCAAGTGACTGCTATTGTTGGTATTTCAGGTAATTCAATGAAATACAAAATATGAAGGTAAATAAAGAGAATGATAATCATCATCAACCGATATGTATTGCTGTAGCCTTTATGCATAGCATAATGTGTTTAAATAGATATGTCTGGTGGAGAACAGAGGAAGAAGCCTAGAATCATTTGTACGTTGTATAAAGAAATTAAACGCTGATGTACATATATAAGTGAACGATATATATCTTTGTATATGTGTGTATGTATATATATATGTCCGTAGAGATTTACGAAACAGTGTTTAGCGTATCTGTACTTGTTTGATTTTTGTTTCCTTTATGGTTTGCACCTTGGGAATGTCGTTTTGCTTGTCTCACTACAACTACAAGTGAGTCCACCACCCGTCGCCTTTAATCGTGAGGCTATGCCTCAATGGATTCCTTTACTTGTTAAAATACTTGCATTGGTTACAGCTAAAAGTGTTGAGTGCAGTGCTGGTTTTTGGAAGCGATAAAGCATAACTAACTTCGGTTTATGAACTAAACTTATGCCCTCACTGTTACTGTATGCCAAGCGATTGAATGACCAACGTTGTCAATGGTAATGTGCATCGTTTAAAATTGCTGATCGTGCAGTTTTTATTTTGTTTTTTTTTTTGTTTTGCTTTTATTTTGTTTTTATTTTTATTTTTAAATATATAAAGACGCAATCTATTTGGTTTTTACGAGTTATTGAATATTTCCAATTCGTATCTCAAGGACTCTTATTGTATTTTTTCTGTGATTTTATATATAAGTCTTTTATAAATATTTGAAGAATTTAATTGTTTCCATATATAAATGTTTAATTTCAGTTTCAGGCCATTTCCGCAACAAAATGATTAAATGTTTTAAAGTTATTTTCATTTTGGATTACCCTCTTTTCTCTGTTAAATTTTTTTTTAGCAGCTCCTTGTGCTGATACGAAGAGTTAAGTTGTAGACTTTATTAAATATATAACTATTTCAATATATACAACTAATGAGATACTAAATGAAGTATGTGCTATGAGAAGAACATATTATAAAAAGTACAGCTTTAGTTTATAAATCACGCATTTATAAATTTGTGGGCAGTGTTCTATTTAATCATCATCCAGATAATTTTGAATTTATCAAACTTCTTTGAACTATATATTTGAAGTTATATTAACAATTTTAAAGTGAATTTTGTATGGGTTACGTAGTTAATAGTAGTTTATTTTTGCTCTGGATTTGAGTCACACTGTGAACATATTTTAAATACAATACCTTTTTTCTATTTGTATTTATACGAAATCATTTCCGTATTAAGTGAAATATGTTAGATGCAAAATATGTTATAAATGAACGTAAATAATTTTAGAGGAATAATTGGAGGAAAGGCTATTGAACCCATTAGCAATGACATTTCAAATGTAACCACGAATCGCTAGTGAATCGAATCCGTAAATACTAACAAAAGTGAAATTAAGTACTACGATTCTTATAACCACAAACAAAATTATTGAAAAAGAAATATTCACGCCGAAACATGTCAAGCAATTATATAAATTATATTATTTTTTAACTGTGAAATTATTAATTTAAATCAATTTCGTATTAGATAACGCCCTAAGTATTTCATATTATAGTATTGTTAACTTAATGACAGGAAAAAACAATACAGAGTGCTTACCGGGCCGGATTTCTGTATAATAGTTTTTATATTACCAATTTTGTAATATTTATTAATAATACACTTTATTTGTTACTATCGACTATGACTTATATCATAAAAATTCTGTCCCTAAATATAGAATTTGATTTTACAATTCGTAGAAGATACATACTGTCCTATCATTAGTATAATACTTATAGGCAATTGAATTTTAAAATTGATGGATTAGGTGTGTTAAAGATAAGTTAAATAAAATTGAATAATATGAAATATATAATACATGCATAGATACAAAAATCGGTTTCAAAATTCGTTGAAATATTGTTTCATGAATGAAATATAACAAAATTACAGACTGATTATTTATGAACGGAAGAGAAGTCGTTAGTAACATTATGGTTTACTAGGACTTTGCAACAGTATTGGAATGATAATGTTTAACCTGATTTAAATTCCGTCATCAGTGTGTACACAGCAGATCTATCACTGTAGGCGTACGGGCGAATAAGTGTTATGAGATTTGCATGTTGAGGATGCAAGTGCAATAGAATTCCAAAGAACACAACAAAAATACATAACACGCGATACATAAAAACAATTTTAGCTTCGCTGACGATGGTTTCAGATATTAATCTGTTCCGTTGAAGTTTTATAAGTTGAAAAGTAAAGTAAAATAACCAAAATGCTTTTTAAAGAAGAAATTGAACAAACTACACTTTAAGCAATGCTGTAAGGCGCCGTAACATTTAGAGTTGATAAGTGATCAAAGGCGCGGGGTGTTGTATGCTGCGTTCATACTTATATAACTGAAAAGAGAAGAAAAAGTCTAAAACTTTAAAGGACCGCACAAATATTGTGTGGGTATTTCGTTTTCAATATGAATAATAAAAATTATGGTATAAATTTTTAATCTCACAAGAGGTATGTTTTTAATGAAAATAACCTGCCATCGTAAACAAAAACTTTTAAATTGTTAAGTCTTTATAAAAAATACATTATGGATTATATGTTAAAAAGAAAAGCACATAGCAATAAGCTCTATAATACTAATTCTTAACATCATAACTCTAGTTCTAATTATTGTTTTGTGTGCTAACAGACTTGTTAACAGTTCTCATACCTTAATCTATGCAATCAATAAGAAATTATTTTGTTTTTTGGTGCTCTGTGACCGGTATGCGAAAGGCTATATTTTGTTTCGCCTATTAAAACCGATTTTTTATCCGCGGCTGTGAGCATAATATGTTCTGCCTATGGCTTGAATGGGATCTTGTTAACGTGTACGACTACGTAGTCTAAGCTATCCCTTTGGAAGTAGTCGATTTTTTAACACTAGATTACGATGTTGGAGACTATATTATGAATTTTCGTTATTGCTGATGTGTACAGCTTGATAGTCAACGCTACTTATTCTCTCAAAACAGTAATATCTCATATTTATGTTGAGATTTTGCTTGTCAACTTCGCCGCTTCAGTCCGTTCTTAGTTTTAAACGCGTCCCTGCAAATCAATGCAGTGAAATAAATAAGAGCGTAATGGTTTTATTTGGTAGTGTCAAGAGTATTGAATGCATATGAACGTACAAGAATTTTATTATTTTATTTAAATCAAATCTGAAGCTTTAAAAGCTATTCAGTAAGACGACTATCTTTTGAAAAGAAAAAATATCTAATTCGCATTCATGAATGAATATGTTTCAATATACTTTTGAACTAAATAAGTTGACAAAGTCATTTTAAAATGAAGAACTTATTAATGAGTCTGCATAATGTTTTTCAAGTTTGTGAGATAAAGCAAGATTTC